CCAAGTCTCATGGTAAACTGCGGTTATTTTGCGACAAAGCACATTCTGACTGACTGATTTTCTGAATGGTCAGTTAAACCATGTTAATTTGTATTCATTAATTATATATTTCTGAATTAAAGACTAGAATATTGACAGCACTATCAAATATATAAAACTACTTTTTACTGTGTACTGAAGGCCAAAGTGAGTTTTGCTAACATCGGCATGCAACATTTATACACCTTTATACATGTTTTGCACACGATCAGTGTAACATTGTTGAACAAATTATGAAATTAAAATGTATCATTCCTGAAAATACATAAAATTTGTAGGACATTTCTCATTGTTGGACTGTGATATGTAAAGACTATGCAGACATCACTTTTATTCAAAGTCTTGTTTATTTGATTCCTGTCAAAATTGAAACATGTCAGATGACTCTTTTTGTACACAAATTCATTCGACTTCAGTAATTTTTTCCATAAAGTTTGTACAATCTTAGAGACAGCAATGCCATAAAATTACAAGTGATATGATGACTTTCAACTATTCGAATGTGATGACAGGTTACAGCATAGCAGCCAGGGTAATAGGTGAATGTCCATTCCAATTTTGTCACACATGTAACTGATTAGTAAGACAACATACAACCTGTCCATGGAATATAAAAAACTCAAGTGCACTGATTTAAAATCAATATACATGGTTTAAAGCAATGCCCTGCTTCTATTTACATATCTTTAAGTACAAATATTTTGACTAGAAAGTTTACACCTCATCCTCGATTCTGTTTCACTGTAATAGGTTTCTGATTAAGGATTTGTTTACAATGTGTGCAATTGTTGCAGCTTATATCATTCCTCATTATTTGGATTAATTTTTGCCCATTATAATATGGTTTATGTGGAGTTGGTCTATTTGATTGTAAGATATTACTAAAATTATCTTGTTTCAAACATGCAGTATTTCATAATGTAATTTAACTGGAATTGATAGAGCTCCCCACATCTCAGCCCTCTAGGGCACTATAAAACGTAAAATAAATTGTAATTTCACAATTACATATATGTAACTGTCCAAATGTTTCTGACAACTTGTTTGTAACGTTGGCAGTGCACAGGGAAATTTGGCTCTATAAACAAACGAAAAGGTTAAGGCGAATTTCCAAATAGTATTATGGTTGGTGTTAGGACTGCAAGCCAGAGTGATGTATAGTTGTAATCTTGTAGTATGTTACGTGTGTTAGCTATGTAGGTAATCCGCGTTATAGATCCAGCAAGTGATTTTGAACAATTAGCACATGTAAACATTATGTTTTAATGGCTGTGTGTTGTCAGGGTCAAGGTGGTGAAGAATGGATTATCATCGTCAGATATGGGAGACGTCTTGAAAGATCTTGGGAATATTCATTCTATTTTGAATGTGACCTAAAGCTTTTGGGTAAGTGGTTTTCTGAAAGCCCTGTCCCTTTAGTCGGCTACAAGTCTGGTACGAATGTAGAGGAAACTACAGAGCATGCACACACAATAGAAGTTCTTGTCCTTCCTGTATTATGTATATGAACAGCCGCACTGTAAGACCATATAAGAGTTGTTTCGTAATCCTGGACCATAGGAGAATTGGATTATTTAGCAAAAAGTGGAATAATGTAAAGAGGAAAAAGTTTGTGCATATCATGGGTTTCCAATATTAAGTGTTGGAATCTTTTGCCTAGAATGATTATGTTATTACCATTAAAAATTACGGCGAAATTGACACAGTGACATGACAGCAAAAGATGGATGTTTTTCCAGAATTCAGTAGTATTTGTGCCCCCCCAATTATTGCCTGTCCCTATTCTGGAAACACATCATACACACACATACTTATGGTTTATAAGGGTTGAGAAGGTTTGTGTAGATCCTGCAGACCCTTGTCCAACACAGATTCACCTAACATTCCATTCTTGAGGAAGAATGGGAGGTACATGTTTCAAATTTTGACTGGATTGTGGTTATCCTGACTTAGGAGTTGTGTAATTTTCTGCAGTCTCCTCAGGCACATGCTATAATTTTACCATCAAATAAATCAGGGCCAGTTTCCTCCAAATTCTTGACATTTCACCTTTCACGATCGCCATTTGCTTGTATTTAACACAGTAAATCCTTTGCTGTTGAAATAATGTTAAATGTCTTAAGAATATGTGTGATAGTTTGGTCACATATGAAGCAGTCTGTTTGCCATTCATGAATGATGGCAGGAATTTGAAATAATTTTTATATTTATCCTTTGTATACGGGCATAACTAAATACAATCTTGCAAGGTAGCTTTGTAATGCAGAAAAATTGTTATTAGTTTTGTTCATTTTGTTTCTCAAATTTTATAGACATTTTGTATTTATGTGTCTCCATTTTATTGTCCAGTATGTATCTTCATCTCACACTATGATTTGGTATAATCATACTTTTTACCTTACAAAGGTTTGTAGTTTTACTAACAAAGTTAGGAAGATTACAATCTATTCTTAACTTTTATTTTATTTCTCTAACAAATAGATTTTGTTTATATGAAAGAAGGCAGTAGATGATGTCCTGTGGTTGCATGTTGAAGAGACCAGTCACAGAGCTCAGACATTGCTGGAGGAATGTACTTGCTGCAATGCTGTGGTTTTATGGAGATAAGCCAGAATTTATCCACAATAAAAGGATTTGGCAGTAACAGTACCATATTTATTGTGGTCTTAGATTCTCCAGATATTTTAGGACATCATTGTATGCATTACTTTGCCAAAGGTCTGAGGTTCTAATCCAGCCAATATTTTCTCTTGCTGATCTTTGCCTCAATAAGCGGTATCTACCTCTGAAATGTCAGTGCCCATCAAAAAGTCCATGTGATGTCACAACCCAGAAAGACCATAATTGACATGTTTGCTCCCATGCCATGAGAAACTCGTATGACTTATTCTTAGAGATTGAATCATATTGGATCCAGACAAGTCTAACGCTACAACTGTCACGTGCTAGAGAGGTGTTAGCTTTGGTTGGGTTGTAGCTCTAGTACGTGGCCTCCAAATGAAATTATTGGGGATCATCAGTGTGGGTTCAGACGAAACAGATCAACGATTGATCAGATT